CCCCGCGATCCTCCGTCCGTCGCATGAATCGTCGCAGATTGCCCACCCTATCCACTTTAAGCATGCCTGAAACACCACATGAAGCCAGTCACAGCTGCGTATCGGCGTGCCGCATAGAGTTTTGTGAGCTGGGTGTTCGCTGTTCCGTGGGCTGGCACAACGGCAGATGGGCGCATTTTGCATTGTGCCGCAACGTGGGTGTCAAGAAATAGTATGCGCGTTGCGTGGTATGGGCGAGCAGATGGTGGGTGCGCGTAATGGGTGATGCTTACTGATACTGCTATGACTGAGGAATCCATAGATGAGAGATGCCTGGCTTGGTTTTACTCGGCTTGTTGGTGTTGTGGAACTGGTTTCCTCCATTCTCCGTTTTTCGCTTCCTTTCCTTCTTTCCTCGTGTCCTCAGTTTCTCTTCTTCCTTACCCAGGTACATACTGTTCTTATCTTTCTTGACACTCTTTTAATAGCGAATTATACGAACGAGGCTTTCAACGCACTACGCCGCACATTATAGACGGGAACTAGGTGTGGCACGACACGATACCATACGTTCGCTATACTATACACATACGCCTCCGCCACTTCCTTCTGAAGAGATCGAGACCAGGACGGAAGCGGAAAGAACGTAGTAGGAAAAAGGAAAGAAGAGAGGCACAGTCACAGTCACAATGGCGATCAACTGGATCCTACCCGTTCGCGCGGCTCAAGCTGTACTTTCCATCGTTGTACTCGGATTGATGGCTTATGGTACGTCTCCCACCATCCCTCTCCCTTATCGCATCCCTCCCCATCCTCACCATCCACGCGCACCAACTAACACTCTCCAGTATCATCATGGTGGTCAACGCACTGGCGCCAATCCTCCCCGCTGGAGATAAACTACCTCATCTTCGCGCCCTCCTGGACCATCCTCAGTCTCATTCCCCTCCTACTCACCTCCCTGCCTAAATTCTCTCACTTGACTGAGAAAGGCAGTGTGAAATGGGCGTTGTTGGGGCTGGAGGGACTGACCATGTTGTTCTGGTTCAGTGGGTTTGTGGCGCTGGCGGTGTTTTTGAGTGGGAGGATTTGCTTTGGTATGGTGAGTACACGCCGAAGAAGAATCGTCACAAGGCAGAGGATTGAGATGCTAACATGTGGGACGAATAGGTCTGTGACGTAGCCCGCGCGAGTACGGCTATCAGCGCGGTTTCATGGCTTGCTTGGGCTGTCACTTTTGCTTTTGGTGTTGTTGGTGTTGTTAAGGGACGACGTGGTGGTATGGGTATGACGTTCGGTGGCAAGGCGCCGAAGAGCAAGGAGGTGGATATGCATCAGGGTGTATAGAGATGTGATAGTGGTAGTGGGGCAGAGGTGATGTGTATATGACTTGGGAACTTGCGATCATCAGGTATGATTGCGGCGCTTGGTGGCTTTTTGGATATCCTGCTTTGCTTTGAGCATTGGTTTAGTCGTAATGCATACTTCTTTTGAGTATGATGTCTTGTCACCTAGTGCTGTGTGTGACGTAATGCTCATGATCGTTGGGGAAATTTATCTTTTTAGCTAGGCTAATCATTCTAGAATTCTCTTGGGCGAAGGTATAGAAAGAACCTGAGAAGCTGTGAGCTGGCTGCCCGCGACTGCTTATTGTAGTGAGGTTGGAACTCGTGGATGTTTGTCTCGGTGCTACCATCATCGTCTCGTACATCGCGGAGCATACATCTGGGCACAAGTTTAATGACCAGCGCGGACCAAGTCAAGGCCCAGTGCCGAGTCAAAGATGCGTTCTTTTCTTCGCAGGGCCTCACGACCATACCTTCGTCACCGGTGCGGAGACAGCCAATATTAACATCTAAGCGTTAAGAGCAGGAAAGCTCTCGGCAGATGTGTCGCCATCTGTCACTTTGTAAGTATTCCAGATAATTCTGATGGACCCTAGATTATCAGTACTGTACATGACTGCATTAACGGCACATTTGTCATAGAAGCATGCGATGCCTTGGTTATAAGGAATTGAGGATGTCGACATCCGGCCCGGGTGGTCGATGGCGAATTCTAGCCTCGTTTCGAAACGCTTGGTATGTAGCAGTGTGCCGAGGAGGAGATTTTGTGGATGCCTTATAACATGCGTTGTATGCCTGATGAAGCCATGCTGAAACGTAACAGAGACGCAAACCGCCTGGAACGGCAGCCTCGTCCGCGACGTTCGATGCGGACGGCAACAAGACACTTCATTCTTCGATAGATGAGATTGACGTCGTGCAGTAGGAATTCGATACGTCGAAATGCTGGCTGTTGTAATTGATGACCGCGTTGGTAGATGCGTTCACGAAGATAACTGTCAGCAACCCCTCAATAGTTCATCGGCACTGCTTGATTGGTCATAGCGCGAGCGCTAGCGTCTAACGTACCTGCGGCGGATCTGCTCCAGGATTCTGAGACCTGCAACACCACGCCACTGATTCTCGTCACAGGACAAGAACTTCTGCATCTCGGCTGACACCATCTGACAGCGTTCTACTCGCGTTTCTCGGTTCTCGGCAACGCGTTTTCCACGACGATGCCAGTAAGAGCATGCTCTGTCCACCGGGGCCCGCATAGAAACAAAGCGGCCAGATGCCATCCGACTGAATATAGCAACGATGGCAGGGAACACAATTCCAATGATTGCCACAAACGGCAATGATGCCGCTCTCGACTTGTTGGCGGGGAGCTTGGCGGGGAGCTGTCAGTTCCCAAACCTTCCGCAAATCTGGATGCAGGGGCTTTTTTCAAGCTGCGCTCGAGCGCTCGCCTGATACGTGTGCGAAGCGTGTCAGCGGCCATGGCTGGATGGATCTGATGGCCTGCGAAACAAGTACATCTTCTCTCGCTGCTTCGCTGTCCAAACATTCTTCTTTCCACTTCTCCAGCTTCACGCGCGCGTAAACATTGATCGTATCCGCAGCGGTTTTCTTGAAACATCAGTCCGGAGAAGAACGACTCGTACCTCGAGAGAAAGCAATCATGCCGAAGACCGCTGTCTTCACCACCATCACGCCGTTGCCGGCGGGCATCACAAGGAAGAGTGTGCTCGACATGTACCGCGATCATCTAGCTATGATTGACCTGAATCCATTGGTTGTGGAACGGTTCAAGTGCAGACCACCTAGCTATGCGCCGACTGACGAGTACTGGTCGATGTGGTACACTATCAAAGGTGAGTACTTTTCAACATATCCACCATGCAGCCGCTAACATCTCCTAGACAAGGTCTCATATCTACCGGGTGGCCTGGCGACAGGTTCTGTGTCATACCACGCCTGCTTCAACGATACGGCGGAAGGTCTCAACACACATGTGTACGCACCGCTTGGTCTCGATATCCAAGGAAAGTGGACCGTAGGAGGACGGCTGCCTGGCGAGCCAAAGCCTCCGGCCGAGCCTGGCCTAAAGACTCCAAGACACGGACTGTATATCCGGGAAGATGTCAAGATGACCTGTTCATCGCTACTGTTGAGCTTCGTCAAGAGGACATTCAAGGACTCGCACGGCAAGCTTGTGGACAAACTGGTCGAGAGAGCGCACATCCTGGAGTCAAACTTTGCGAACGAGAGATTGCAAGCACTTCGGAATGTTGCGCCTGGCGAGCGAATGGGACACGGTGACATCTTCATCGCACCACCACCAGACTACGACTACCAGCCTTCCCCCAGATACCTGCAGGTCCCCTCCCCTCGCTTCGTATCACATACGCGAAGCCAAAGCGACCCGGTACTCTCTCCTGGCTTTTCTTCTTCCTCGACGCTCAACGGTTCCAACGACAACTCCCCTAACCCAAAAGACCGTCCGATGTCCTTCACCTTCGTACGCGAAGAGAGGGAGGTAGCTTCCTCTGCACCCGAGCAAGGCTCCTTCCTGCTACCAGCGACAACATACGATGGCGGCTTTGCACAAGTGCGCGAGCGATCGCAATCTTTGTTCCCTGGTAACGCCCCAGACGAAGATCTCGAGCGCATCTACTCAGAGCGCATGATCTCTCTGGCCCCATTGAGCCCAACACAATCCCCAAAAGACTGGACACCGGAATACGCACCGAGAGTGTCGTACACACCTAACGAGCGACCCATTTCTTTCACATTTCCCTTCGACCCAAAGCATCCCTTTGACCGCAAGTCGACATCCGAGACGTCGCAATCGGACCAACAAAACCTTCTCGACGACATCGACGACGCGATTGACGAATTCATGTACACTTTACCCGCAACCACATACAAGACGCTTCCTGCGACTACGTACGACCCCAAGCCGACTGCCGAACCCACACTCTCCAGCGCAACATACAACCCAGAGCCAACGCTTTCGAACGCTACCTACAAGCCCGAGCCGATATTGTCAAGCGCAACCTACGACCCAAGGCACGCGCGGAAGGACTCCGTCATGCCGTCGCAGTCCTACGCCGACGAACCACCACCAGTGCCGCTCAAGGACGACAAGTACAGGAAGGGTAGCATTAGGGGATAGTACGGTATAACGCAGCTGGTGATGCTTTGATGATCTTTTCTGTAACAAAATTTCTTCTGTCTCGATATTTTTCGATTTGGGAAAAAGCGGGTTTGGTGTTTGAGCGTTTGGATCTTTTATATATACCCTCTTGTATCAGGCTACCGGATAGGCTGGATGGAGTACCTTGTACTGTTTTGTACAACAATGGATTATGACGGCGGAAACGCTACGATACTATACTGCTCTTACAATCAAGTTGATTTGAAAAACCTGTTTAAGCTACACCAAGGCCCATCGTTGCAGCGACATGTACTACTCACACAACGGCACCCGACGCTTCACCACCACACTCCAAATCCGGAGTCTTCCTACCCGGAAACGTGGCTTCCCAAAGCCTCGCAACATCCAAAAGCAACGCCTCCTTGTACTTCACCCCAACAACAAGCAACCCAAACGGCCGTCCATTCCAATCCAGATAACCCAGCGGCAGAGTCACCGAAGGATATCCTGTGCACGTGGTCAGAAACGCTCGTTTAACATACACGGCAGTACCTACTAGCTAAAGCAACAACATCGGGTAGACGGCTATCTGCTGGCCCTATTATCACGTTGACATTGTGCTCACGAAGCATCTTATCGATCGCATCATCAGCGGCCGACGCGGTCGCCTTTACATCAAGACGGTGATACTCTGCATCCGTGAGCGAGTTGGCATCTTCCAGACTTTGGGTGAGCTTGTCTTGTCGAGGGGAGTCTGGCGATAGCTGGCTTCAGTGATGGGCAGGAGATGAGGATGGCATTGCTGGGTTGTTCTTACAGTCTGGTAACTCGATGTCGCGATTTGTTTCGTTGAAATTGATTAGTTCCGCGAGGGTCTTGACTTTGGGGGTGACCAGGCCGTTTGTGTAGGCTTCGAAGAGGGTGGAGAAATCGTTTTCTGGGATGTGCTTAGTGTGGATTTTGCACCTTGGTGTTCTTGAGCTCACTGATTGTGGCTAGGACGTCGTTCATGCTTTCGTCTAATGTTTCATCAGAGACCAAGCTGACTAGGCCGACGACGAGTTTGGCTAGGGTTGATATCTTCTTGTAGGCTGCAAGTGTCTCTCGTATCTGTTCGCTGAGTAAGGCATGGTTCTGTTTCATTAGGAATGCACTTACAATTTGATCCAAAGCTCCAGGTTGCGGCTTCTGAACGGCTTCTGGTAGACGCCAGTGGCTTGGATTCAAGGTGCCGAAAGAGATATCTTTCCAGTCGCGAGAAAGAGACGTGTTATACCCTCGGTCGGGCACTTCCGAGTGTGAAAGATCCACGACGACATTAAGCAAACCAACAAGATCCTCCACACTCTTCGCCATAGGCCCAACACTATCCCTGTTCTTCGAGAACGGGAATGCCCCATGTTCCGATACTATACCGGGCGTAGTGCGTATAGTAAACAGGGCAGCACGGGTAGCTGGGTTCGTGAGAGAACCGTTAAAGTCAGCACCGATGGATACAGGCGCAAAGCCTGCACTCACGGCTACAGCCGATCCTGTTGATGAGCCGGATGGGTTCTGTTGGGGTAGTGAGCACCATGATACGCGTCAATCGCGGAGAAGCTTTACCGAATGGCCGTAGATACCGTCGTTGACTACACCGCCGCGTACATATGCGGATTGTGTCTGGCCTCCACGTGCAGACCAGCCGCCGCTCATGCCGGATGCCCTGGAGAGATTAATCAATAATGTTTCGCGTCTCCGTGCTTTACTCACTTCCAGTTTCCGAATTGCTGTCGGGGTTAGATCGGAACCTCCAGAAACCAACCACAAACATACAGAAAGATTCGCCTTCCCCATCAAGATCATCCCAGCATCCACCGTCATCCTAACAACCCTAGCAGTCTCTCTCGGCTGAGACCCCACAAACGCCCACCCACCATTCGTGGATTCGAGCTGGAACTCGCTTGACGTATCCATAGCATCCTTGTAATTCGGTCAATTTAGCCAATAATCCCTTGCTATGTACTTACCTTAACGATGAATGGTATACCATGCAGCGCACTCCTCACAACCCCCCTCCTTCTTTCATCATCCAGCTTAACCGCAATCATCTCTAGATGTGGAAGCGGCGAGATCGATATCATAGCCTTGAGTCTGTCGTTGTGTTTGAAGATCTGGTTGTGGTATTGGCGTACAAGATCGAGGCTGGTGATGCGTCCGTCGGTCAGTAGGCGCTGCAGCTCACTCGCTGTGACGTTCAACAGGTCGGGTTTCATGTTGAACATGACTTAGATAAAGGAAAGCGCAAGGAGACTCGTCTTGAGACGGTAATGAAACCCAGAGTAGAAAGCGGACGGAGGATGTGCACCAGTGAGCTTATCGGTGGAGGAGCGGCTACTACCTAGGCTGGGGACATGTGGTTCGAACGCAAAGGGCCGCCCTTGCTTAAATTTCACGAAGGCTACGTTGAGTTGGCTCAAGCAATGCGAGATATATCAACAGACATCGGGTTATCATAAACTTCCACCACCACCCCTCCTTTACCCCACCCACCCATCACTCTTACTCTAACCCCACGGCAGTTACTTCCAGTTGGCTTAGCCAGCGCGCGATAACAGCAGCACGATAGAAAAGACTGACTAAGCAAATGATCAAACTCTGAGCGCCTGCAGTCCTTGCTATGGTGATCTGTATTGCTCTTACTATGCAAATACTAGGACATTTCTCATTCCATCACAACTTCACCCCACTGAGTCACGCATACCCATTCGCACCCAACCACTCCCTAACAACCCCCGCATCCCTCTCAGCATAAGCCGCATAACTCCTAATAGTATCATCCACAACCTCAAGCCCCTTATTATACCCCCTCGTATCCTTCCCCTTAAAGAACTCCTGAATCTCATCCGCCACCTTACTATCCGTAAACTTATTCAGACCAAACCTGAGGAACCTCTCTAGGACAACCGGGTTACCAGCAAGCGCAGGATGCACCTTGGAGTCCCAGTTATCGCGAATGTAGTGCCAGACCTCCGGGCGGACTTTGGAGTTGTTGGCGAGGGCAATGGTGGAGCTGTGCTTGTCTTGCATGGCGACGGCGTCGGAGAAGACAAAGTCCATGACTTGCTTTGCGAGGTCGGGGGTTTGGACGCGGCCGAGGGAGCCGAGGCAGATTTCTTTGCCGTCGATGGACGTAGTGTGGAGGTATTCGTTTTGGACGGCTTTGAGGGCTGGCTCGCCGCGATTCTTGATGGCGGTGGCGAAGACGGCGCGGCGGAGGGAGGGGTGGATGGCCTTGTTGTCTCCATTGATGTAGGCGTCGAAACGCTTGAGGGCCTCGTCGACGGTGGCTTTGTGGCCGACGATGCCGGCGGAGAGGATGAGGCTGGCGCGAAGTTGGCCGACGAGGTAGTTCTCGCCATCCTTGAACTCCCAGCCGACCTTATCGACTGCTGGGGTGATGAGCTTGAGGTGGTACTTCCTCAGTCCCTCGCTGATATCTTCGCTGCCGGAGAAGACGCTGCGGACGTTGCCAATGTTGGTCAGAATCTGAGACCATACAAGGTAGTCAGACTCGTCCTGGAAGCGCTCTGCCAGTGCGAGGAGACCAGCGGTGGAGCCGTAACCTGCTACTGCGTTGGCGTAGGCGTCACCTACGAGGCCAATCTTGTCTTGCACGGTGAGCTGATCGCGGTCCTCTCCGAGCTTCTTCAAGCGGTCCGCAGGGTAGTTGGTGCGGTAGAAGCCAGTGAGATCCTTGTTGAGAAGGTAGAAGCTGTCGCTAACATTGCGGATTGTGTCTTCCTTCTGTGTCATAGCAGTGGTCTCGTGAACAGACGCGCTGGAAGCTGACTCGCCAGAGTGAAGGCCAAGCGGAATCCACCAGGTAGTTTGGTCCTCTTCGGGCTTGACGTTACCCGCAAGAAGGAAGCGCTGTTGACGCAGTCCAATTTGACCAGGCTCTTCAGCTACGGTGACTACTGGGAAACCGATCCTGCGAACCCAGAGGTCCATGAAGGTGTTGACGTTTTGACCAGACGCCTTGCTCAGGGCAGACCACAGGTCGTTGGTAGTGGCGTTGGAGTACTGGTGGGCCTTGAGATAGTCGGCAACACCCTGCAAGAAGACCTTCTCGCCAAGGTGAGCGCTCAGCATGCGGATGACTGAGGAACCCTTGAGGTAGGAGATGTGGTCAAAGATCTGGTCGACCTCAAGACCGTCATATACGGGTACTTCGATGGGATGCGATGTTCGTAGCGCGTCAAGGGCGAAAGCTTGTTGGACGGATTCAGTCTAGAGAAACAGTCAATAGGCTGGTAGTAGATACCTCGAGATTTGTGACGTACGACAAACTGTCCCCAGACGTTCCATTCTAATGAGAGTTAGCAGAGTTCTGCCGTGGTAGTGATTTGACGTACCTGGGTAGAGATGATCAATTGCAAGCCATCCGACCCATGTCGCGAAACCCTCGTTGAGCCAAAGCTCACTCCACCAGTCCATGGTGACAAGGTTACCGAACCACTGATGGGCAAGTTCGTGGGCGACAACGTAGGCAACCCTGTTGCGGTAGCTGTCGGCAGATGTAGCGGGATCGAAGAGCACGGCAGTAGTCCTAGGTACGTTAACATAAAATCCAGTTTGTTCAAGCACTTGACGCACCTGTAGGTAATGAGGCCCCAGTTCTCCATAGCACCGTGCGAGAACTCGTGAACAGCCAGCAGATCGACCTTGGGAAGCGGGTAGTCAATCTGGAAGACCTCGGAGAAGTAGTCGACAATCTTGTGGCAGTTGTCCAGAGCAAAACGACCCTGCTCCTTCAGACCACGGGTAGTGTAGACCCTGACGGGAATGTTCTTTCCGTTGTACTTGCGCTCGGTGAAAGCCTCGACGTACTCAAAGTCACCAATCGCCCACGCCAGCAGGTATGTGGACATGATGGGCGATCGCTCGAAGACGACAGTGTGGAAGCCGTCCCGCTTGCTGGGCTTGATCTCCTTCTCGGGCATGTTGCTAAGGGCGACCTGGTCCTTGGGCACTTCGAGCTCGACATCGAAGGTAGCCTTCAGGTTGGGCTCGTCGAAGCAGGGGAAGGCGCGGCGGGCGTCGCAGGCCTCGAACTGGGTGCTGAACATGTAGTGGAACTCGTCGTCCTTTGCGACGGAAGCGGGGACGTCGCCCTTGGGCTTGTACTTGGAGCGGTAGAAGCCGGCCATGATGTTGTTGACGAAGCCCTCGAACTTGATCTCCAGCTGTGCTTCGCCTGAGTAGCTGATCTTCTCGCCAAAGTCGAGTGTGACCTGTTGCCTCTTCTCATCGTATGAGATGTCCTTTGCTGACAGTGTCTTGTCGCCAGCCTTCAACTCGGCGGTTTGCAGCTTCAGCTGATGTGCGTTGAGGACGAGGGTGTTGAAGCCATCGTCCTTGGTGATCTTGGTGGTGATGTTGACGGTGCCCTTGTAGGCAAACTTGCCGCCGAATTCGAGGTCGTGGAGGGAGAGGGCGTAGTGCGATGGTTTGGCCCTGGATGTGTCAGCGTAGCTATATTAGAGAGAAATTAACTAACCACGCGGGGAGGACATCGCGATCTGAAGCCATGTTGACGAAACTGCTGGTGACTTCGCTCTGGCAGAACCTCTTTTGTGCTGCAAAGGTGTTTGTGTTTGCTACGGCAAGCCTCGGTCTTAGGCGTAGTTGGGTACGTGGGGCAGAATCAAGCTCTCTAGCTGCAGAAGAGAAGCTTCTAGAGCGGGTGAGGTGGGTCGGGGAAAGTGAATAGCGTTGAGCAGACTGCGTGGTAGATACAGCAGAATACAGACGCGTCGAAGAACTAGCTCTACACCTCGTCAATTGTCGAGAGCAGAGTCTCGCAGAGGCAGATAGAGCAGCCAGGGTGAAGGTCCGCGGGGTAGATAACCTCAAGCGAAAGAGGAAAGAGGGGTGTCTATGTTTCAATTGGACTGGTATGAGATGATGCGTGTAGGCTTAGAGGGGAAGGTGCGCGTGCGGCACGCCGAAGCGCCCCACCTAGGCTGAATCCCTGCGTTCGGCTTTCCAAGGTTAGCGCGGGGTCTTGGGTGCATTTATCTAGATCCAGATGGGAGGATGCTGGAACAGCATTCCATCTTGCTGTTCTTTTATGTATGCGTTGTGATGGTTGAAGCGCGTTGTCCCCCGAGGTCTGCAGTGCCTTCCTCTCTCCATCTGCTCGAAGCATGTGTATCACGCACAAGCTGATGAATATCAATCCTGAAAGTGGCATGCCATTGACGCCTGCAAATGCTTCAGTATACGCCCCAGCCATGCGATAGTATCCTTTCCACCACGCCTAACAGCCACAAACGCCTCGCACACCTCTACATTGCAGACCCGCACCCCCATCTCCCAATGCCCTCCCCCCATTCAAACCCTAATCAAAACATCCAAACATTGTATCCTCCACTCCTTCTTCCCCAACAACCCCTTAACCCACTCATAACTCTGCCCTTCACTCTGGCCCAATCCAACCCTCCCCCTAACCCCCTCAACCGCCCCCCTCACCACCGCCTTGGCCGTATGATTCGCCGCCTGCGCCAACACACCCGCTGTCTCTGCAACAGTGCCGTTCAGCGCCAGCTCCGCGCTATCAGACAGCGGCGCATCGAACCACGGGGTGTGGAAGTCGAAGAGGGCGACGACGAGGATGAAGAGGAGGAGCGAGCAGTACACGCATGGCCGGTTTAGGAAGTAGGTTGCTGAGATGAAGAGGACGAGGTAGACGGGGGAGGCGTGCGTTCGTAATCTGTGGGGGAGATGTTAAGGAGGGAATGCGCGTGGAGTGGGAGGGAGATGGGGGTGGGTGGGTGCTTACAAGAAGAACAGGACGGGGATCCAGCTGCGGAGGCAGAACATGGCGGGTTGGTGGGTTGTGGGTGTGACTGTGGGTGTAGGTAGGTAGGGAGCCTCGCGTGCGCACGCTGCAGCCCTAATGGCCCTGACGTATCTCGGTCGGTCGGTCGTGTGAGGCGCGCACTTTACGGCGATAACTGAGGCGGAGGCGATAATCGTCGACGGCGGACGTGGATGCGCTGACTAATGCGATAAGTCGGCGAGGCGAACGGGCAAAGTGAAAACAGCGAGCGGACGAAGAAATAGCAAGTGGGTTTATTAGGATAACAAAGTATCAAAGGTAAGAGGGCTGACGGCTGCGAGATCCATGGATGGTGCGGAGTCCTGGCCGCCGAATTAGCGTCCGCTGATTGGCAGTGCGCCTCCAGGTAAGCATTCGGCTCCCCTTGATGCCTCGAGC